AAAAAAAAAAAAAATATAATATGTTTGACAACACTTCTGCTATCAAGGTACATCCCATTGTTCAATTGATTGTATGACAAAGCTACATCAGGATGGTCAAAAGCACTCAAAAGCAGTGACATATACAACTATGTGAATCTGAAAATACAGATTGCAGTAAACAAAATTATAATAAAAACAATAATATTATATTCTTGCCACCTAGTTATGGCAACTGTACTTTAAATGTTATCATTAACCAATATCATTAAGCAACACCGTAACATATGAATCTACACCGTGCAGATGAACTTAATGTTTTGTTAACACATTGGTCTGCGTACAACTGACCAGACCCCAACCAGTTGGGAATATAATTCCCAACTGGGTATGTTGTTGTTGTTGTTGTTGTAACACATTGGTCTGTCTTAGCTCGCTCGCTGAGAAAGATTTATTTCAGAACTTTGAATTCATGATGTTCTTAAGAGGATCCCATAAAGATATTATAACAAAGGGCAACTCTACACTAGATAAAGGATTGCAAACCTTTGTCCATTCACTCCAGAACATCGAGAAAAAACAATAACATCAGCACCAAGCCTCATGGTGCTCGTCTTAAACCCATTTCCGTCTGAGACACATAGTTTTCAAGAAATTAAGAAACAATGCCAAAACATATTTAAAAATGGAACAATTTGTTATGAGGGAGTGAAAGGAGAGACAAGAAGTCTTAGGGGTGGTGTGAAGAGAACTTACATTGTCCAATCGTATCCACCTGTTTGCTCTTTTCAGAATACCCAAGAGACATGCAGTGACGAATTTTTTCCGGATCCATTCCACCACCATTATCTGATAATTAAATCCATACAATCGGTAGATGAGGCATTAAATTTATGTATAAACCAAATTACCAAAAGAATTCAATGTTAAGCAGAAGACATAAACATCAAACCTGAATAAATAAACGGGGTTCTAATAATAGCAACCTTAGTAATCAAGAAAAATTAAAATAGGAAAGATTAAAAGGAGAGATGTAGAACAGACTATCCCCATATCAAGAAAAATTGCTATTGACAAAACAATTGTGTCATAAGTAACTTAAACTCCACCAGCCATGGGTTTACTATTAACAGTGTTTAACACGTGCTCGAGATAAAGGCATATAATGCAAAGCAACTGTCAGCATTCTTTTTTATATATTAATAATAAAAGAAGACGACAAAACCTTCAATAAGCAACATTTTGCTCCCATCTTTCTTGCTTTTGACCATATCAATGTTCACATATGTTGCTCCATTGCAGACCTAAATTTAAAACACAAACCAGTATAAAAGTCTGAAGCCTAAACCAAAAGAATTGCATCATGGTCACTATCGAGGAACCTCAGGTACTATATCGCTGTTACCTCATCCAAGGAATTATCCAGCAGCTCTGCAAAAGCTGCAAAAGCAGATTCACAAAACCAGTATGGTAAGAATGAGTTGCATCTTCATATAAACCAAAATGAGCATCAAGAAGATGATAATTTTGTGAACTGTGGTATTTCGTTACCTCCAAGGACCCACTTATGACTTGTAGCATTAGAATGTAAGAACTTAGGGTGTACTCTAACATGATCCATCCCACCTGCACAATGGGTGCAGGAGTCAGGTGAGAGATTAAACAGACACATCACCAAGGAGAAAGAAGCAATAAATAAGAGATATCTAAGCTGCACCACCCAGAATTACTGGGACCTGCAATCCTTCCATTGTTGCATGCATGACAGCATTAGCAAACATCTAGATGGCTCTTTACGACTCTTCAGCAAATTAAAATGTGTTTCCATAAAAAGGTGATATTCAGTTAATAGTTCTCATCATTTGCTTCAAATTATTGAAACAGAACTAACATTCAACCACCTCATACTATGTGTACAGAAACACTAGGCATATTCCCTTTCTATTAGGGCCCTTAAAAAAGAAACATCAAATGATAAATAGCACTTCCAGTAGGGACTGATCCAGGAATTGTTTTCCTGAACGCACAACACTCCGATGTTGTGCATGCAGTGTCATGCCCTGATTTCCTTTTGACCAGTCGAATTGCTGATAAAGAGTCTACCGGCATCTTAAGCCCCTTAATTTAGCATAGACAACCAACTTCTATTTGGCCCGCGGTAAAAGGGATAACTGAAATCAAAATCACCAAAAACCAAAATGCACACAATCGAGCATCGTCCATAACGGCATTTCTCCTTGAAATGAGCAATCATTGACTCGGGTAAAAGAAATGCAGAAACCACTAATGATTATACTTCCTACCACTCCCATAAATCCCATTCAAAATCAGATGTAACTTCAAGAACAAACAAACGCACACGAGATATTCAATAAAAATTGGAAAAAAAAATAATAATATGTCACCATTAGAATTATTCCAATCCCCAGGAAGCGTCCCCTCATAGTCGCCAGCCTTCCAGAACTGCTTCGAACTCGGATCCGGAATCGCTCGCGCTCTAGCAGACGGACACTCCAAACGCGACCGCTCGTCCCGAGGTGGCGGTGGCGGCAGCAGCAGCGGCAGAGACGGAAAGGGATCCAAGAAACCCACAGGCAACATATAGTCTTCCGCAGTCTCCTTGCTCTTCTTTGCATTACTACTCCCACCATCATCGTCGGAAGATGATGAGACAGAGTCAGAGCTCGACAGTTCGATTAATGCAGCGGGGACGGAGTTTCTCCGGTCGGAATTGCGCCGGAACATGGGGTCGGGATCTAATAGCTCTCGCTTGACATTATGGATTTTGGTGTGGTCGGCCATGGGAGAGCTTGTAAGGAGGGGCTGAGTGGAAAAGAGTCAAATAGCCGTTATTAGTGATAATATGCAATACATTAGATGAGATTAAATTGCCACGAGTCGGTATACGATTTACGTGTCGAACAGCTCTCGAGTAGAGAAAAATCTTATATGTAATTACATTATTTCTCATAATCCCTTTTAGATAATAAATAAATAAATTAGTAAGTATTAGAGAAAGTACTATCAAAATGAATGAAGTTATTTTAGGATATTTCGATTATAAGTTTTCATTTCGAAATTGGGATGTTGATTTTGACATTAATGATTAGTTTACTCTAATTTAGCTTGGAAGAAGGAAATTGTTTGATGATTTTTCTTGGAATATTATTTCCTAACTAGTACATAGGGATGGCAATGGACCCCCGAAACCCGAAACCCGATGGGTAAAAACCCCATTAGGAGCCGGGTATGGCTAAAATTTGGCCCCATGGATTTGTTAATGGTGGAAAAAGTCCCCCCATTGGGTCTAGCGGGGATGGGTCCGTTTCCCCTCCCCCCATACCCGTTAACCCATGGGTATAATGTACCCAATATAAATTGGCCCTATATATGTTTTGACTCAGCCCAAAAGAACTCACCAGGTAGCAACACTACTAAACTCTAGATATATAAGAGGAAATCTCATCTTCTTGCTCTTCCTCTTGTGTCATTGTGTTGCTTTTATAGAGTGTAATCGGGTCTGTGTCACCCAATGGGT